TGGTGTGGTTTTTAATTTTGTTTTTGTTTAACTTTGAAGTAAGGTGGTGGTCTTCACAAATGGAACTTTCCTGTATAAGCTCTGCAGATAAAGAGGCAGCCTAATCAAAACCAAATGAAGCAAATGTGCTCTGCTGCTGTAGTCTCTGGTCTTTTTCTCTATGCTTGAATTATTACTTGAAGTTTTTATAAAGGGAAATGGATATGCTTTTTGTCTGCTTGCAATATGTTGTGCAGGGTTTCATGTCAGGATTAGGGAATATAGTGTGCAATGATGTTAAACTGCTTTATTACTAATGCACTTTAAATGAACCTGGATACCCTAAGGCTTTGGTATCTTAAAATAGTTTAAATATCTTATCAGCTTTCATGATAGTGATTAAATTAAAGTCATTCTGATGACAGAAGGTTCTTTATATGCTTTTGGGATTTTTTTTAAAAATTATTTTAAAGAAACTGCTGCAGATAGAGAACTACTTCCTGGAATTGTTTCAAATGCTCAGTAATTCTAAGTTAATCATTTCAGTGTTACCTTGAACTTGTATTTACATGCCTCTTTTTACATACTTAAGTTTTGGAGGTTTTTTAGTTGCTTTAATGCTTAAGAGTGGCTCACCATTTTGGTTTGAAACTACAAGAATCGCAGTATCAAAAAAAAAAAAAGTGGGAGGGGGTTGAGAAGGCCTTCCATTAAAGTGAATTGACATGTTCTTGATTTGGGTTTACTTCTATGCTCACACATCCCCTCCCTAATTTCTGTTTGAATCTTAAAGTTTCTGAAAAGATACTCTTGGTCCATAAGGGGGGAAAAAAAATATTTGGAGGCCTGTCATTTGGAAAAAGTACTTGATCTTTAATATAACTACACTGATTACTGTCTTCCTTTATTCTTCTGTTTTATTGCTTTTGATTCTCTTCAGTGCTAGCTTAGCAATGAGTGTAAGTCCATTGGAAAGTAGTTCAGAAAGGTATTTTTGAAATTAAGGTTACAGTCTCTACCTCTGTTGTTCAAAAAAGTTACTGTTGCTAAACTCCTAGAAACATGTTGAGTGGGAGTAACTAAAGCAAGAGAGAAGACTCTTAGCCTACCAATTTGCGGAGTATTCCTATGCTGATGCTTGTTGATCACTTCAAATGTTAGCAAATAAGTGAATTGTGCTTTGTGTGTTACTTTGACTTTCCCTTTGCTGTTGAAAACACAATATTATTGAGCCATAGAGCATAAGTAGTATTAATGATAAAAACAAAAATAAAAATTTAATTTGTTTTATGTAAAACTAGATAGTTCAAATCCTGCAGGGCTGAATACTAATAGAGGTAAATAGATAGGGTTTTTATCTCTGGGAATAGATCCCAGACAAATTAATTTATTGGGCTTTACAAGAGGGAATAATGTTATGCATGACATATGAGAAGAAATAAAATCTATATTGTCGCAATATGTTGAATGAGACTTACAAAACCTGAAGGATTACAGTTACTGAGAACCTACTACTCTGAATTGGCTAAAGTAAATTACAAAACTCTTTACATAAGAATATGAGAAATTGAGAATGATGTGCAAAAGTCTTTCCAGTGGGAAATTAACACAAGGGAGAGGAGGTTTGGAAACTTGGAGAGGTGGGATAGAAACAGAACTTATATTTTACACAGCTTCAGGGAAACTGGAACCCAGATTATTTTTTTTCCTGAATTACCCAGTTTTAAGAAATCTAGCAACCATGCTTTTTCAGTGGTACGTAAAGAATGCTCTTCACAGTTGAAGAAAATTAAATCAATGTTTTTGAGAGTGAGTTTACTATAGCTTCCTCCTGAAAATTGGTAGGGAACCAATGATATTAAATAGTTTGGCAAATAAATAAATACTGCTTCCTGGAGATACCATGCTATTATATTTTGGAAAAGTCACTTCAGTCTAATTGTTGCAACAGTATTGCTTTCCTTAATCCTTAAAGGAGAGGGAGGAGGAAGACTCTTGGAGAAAGAGAGGCTGAATTTGGAATGAAAATACTTTCTCAGATGTGGTGTGCTATTAGTCTAGCAAATCTGCTTTAATAGTTGTTGTTGTGAAGTGCTAGCAGTACTGCTTAATAGAAAGATAGTATGAAAAACAAGATCTCATAATAGGGGTTGCTAAACATAAGCATTAATGAGATAAAACAACTTCAGAGTAAAAGTATTTGAAAGTAATTGATGAGCATTTCCTCTTTTAATTTAAAATGTCATGTTTCCAAACGGTTATAAAGTTTTGGTAGCATGAACACTACACAATAATCCGTGTTTTCCTTTCTCCTCTTCTGCTGCTTCTGCATCCTAATTCCTCCCTGCCTCAGCTTCCCAGTTCCCTGTGTGCATGCATTCCTGTAACAGCACTTGTGGCATCCTTTACCTGGGAAGTAAACTGGAGCTTTAAAAGTTTTGCTTGTGCCACAGATGGTGTAAAACACAATCCTTGCACAGTTTATTCAACTACGGAATAAGCCCTGTTGCAAAGTTGAGATGTAGCTACTCATTTAATAGCCTTAGGTCAAATATGGAGGGGGAAAAAAAATCTTTGCTTCCAAAGGACCCTGGTGCAGGGCCATTGGACGAGTGCTGGGCAGACTGAGATCAGCAAAGCACGGTCAGGTGAGGTCAGCTCTGTTCCTCTTGGGACAATAGACTTCTGTGGGTACATGTGTATTTCAATGCCTCTCCCTCTAGCCTTAGATTGCCTTCTTAAGGATTTCTAACAGTGCACAGACTGGATCTTTAAAACTTGTTTCTAATCAGGAGAAAAGATGTTTAATTAAAAAGCTGCTTTTCTGTGGTGGCTGGTTTTCTTGATCTCTACAAACTTCAAAGGGCTGTCTACAGTCAGAGGGTTTTTGGCTTAAATTGTCTACAGATTTTAGTTTGCTGTGTTCAGAGATGCTTAAATCGTATTCATGGCAGAAAGTAATGTGAAAGGCTGAGAAATTAAATGAGCTTTTACTGCAGACGGAGTTAACCTGGTAAATCACTTGGACAAGCAAATCAAATTGGCCTTGCTTTCATGTTCCCTTGCTGCTCCCCAGTTTGCACCACAGTGCAGCTCTGTTCTGTCTCCTCAGCTGCTCTGGTGCAGCATTTGGAGATTGCTATCTCCCTTTCTACTTTTGAAAGATACGAGAGCATATTGCTGGGAAGAGTTTGTATTTTGCAGAGCGCTGCAGCTAGCTCAGTTGTCTCTATACTGTACTGATAAGCTCCACAGATATTTTAAAAAAAACGAAAACAACAAAAAACCCCACACTTCCTTACCTATAATTTAAACTTCTTATCTTTCCTCCTGTTATC